ATCTGTTCGCCGTCCGTGTGTGTTTCTTCGAAAAGGACAGAAAGGAAGGTGAATCCAGAAAAGCGTTTCACCCAACTCGAATGCCCGAGTTTGCAACTTTTTGCTGCTACTTCTATACGTGTGCAATGCAGGTTAGTGTGTGTGTGTGTGGGAATTGGGATAAGGACAGGATAATTTAGTTTGCAGGACGATTTCCTGAGCATACGAGATGAATTTAGAGCGAGTCTCTATGACTTCTGATTTTGATTTGGTATGATGTGCAGCGCAGCGTGCGACGACGAGTTGGCAACAGGTTGTTTTTCCCGGAATGAGATTTCCATAACTAAGTGGTCTGATGATGGACCTACTTGTGAGTAAAGTGTGGGTGAGTGGGTTTGCACTGGAAAATGCCATTATAAATTACTTAGGATCAACTACGGCTATGATTCTGGGCAATTCCACTTGGAATGTGAAGAATTGAAGAAAATCTCAAATTTGTTTTCATTTCAAAACGTAGATTCCATGTGGCAAATGGGATTTGGGCTTAATTGGTTCTAACATGGAATATCTCTGCAACCTGCCCACATAGAAGTTTGCTGTCTTTGGCAAAGTTGTTCAGGGCTGACGAATGAGCTCAGAATTGAATCCGCTAACCACCTAGGAAGTTACTGTCTTGGATAATTTTTGTGATTTAATCCTTAATCCGGATAGTAGGCATATTAGTTGACCGAGAAGTTTTAATACAGCCGAGTTATTGAATAGCAAAAGAGAATCAGCAACGGATTTTCATCGGAACAAAGTTTGTTTTGAATTGGGTGAGAAACGCATCCCGATAGCAGGTTGTATCCAGATGCGATGGCTGTGCAATGCAGACATGTTTTCTCAGACAACTCTGATCCATTTTTTGCGACGAAGAAGACAAACTCTTGAAAGCGAATACAGTTTTTATTGCTTCAAGCTGGATAATTAAAGGATTCTTAGTTCAACTCTAACTGACTGCTGTTTCATACTCATACACTCACATTTATAGTTTTTTCTCTTCTATCTAGAGTAAAAATCTGGAACGTGCACAGCATTTGGAATTCTACTATCCATGCGAATTACACTTCAATCATCCATCATCGGGGATAACTGGTAGAGTTGACTTCTTTTCGATATACGTTGATACTCTTCACGGGGCACCTTCAGGTTTTGATTTTGCTTTGACAGTTTCTTCCGCTTTTTGAAGTTCATTTTGGTTTAACCATTGTGATTTTGCAACCGATTGATTGCGAACCTTACGACGAAGATTGTCTATATATCTGTGGACATAAGCAACTGTGCGCACAAGTCGCTCCCATTTTGAAAATCTCTTGAAGTTGAATAATTGTGGAGTTAAGTTGTGCACATTCACGCGAGCGGTACGGAGTTCTACTTCATCTTCTTGAGGTTGTGTTGAGATTTCTGATTGCTCTGGTCATGTAGCCTCGTCTTCATACAGGAATCCTGGGGCATTAAACCAACGACTATCCTCGCTAAGGGTGGGGCCTTTTCCCCACTTGGTAGCTTCATCTGCAACGTTTAGGTGTGAGGAAACCCACCGCCATTCATCCATTCGTGACGCATCTAGGATTTCGAGTTCAACAACAACAACACCGTTCTTCTCAACGCTTGTCGATAACTTCCTTTCCGGTTGATCCTCCGAATGAACATACAGTTTTGGCTTCTCCTTTGGTGATTTGTTCGATTTTGAGCTCAAGGTGAGAGTGTCGAGTGGTAGTGTAACATCCGAGGTCATCACTACTCACTCAGACATGAAAGCGCTGAACGTCGCCAGGTTGACGTAGGAGTACCTACTTTTCGGCATTTTGAGCTGAGGTGGAAGTTTCTCGATAAGCTCATGAACCAATGTTGGATTCCACAGATGATCTACGAGCTTGGCGATGGACATGTGATCCACAACATTCTGTACTGCTAGACCGAACGTGATCTGGGACTGCAGGTTGTCGGACTTCGGCGGAGGAACTGCGCGTAACTTTTGGAGAAGAGAGTGAATCAAGACTTCAGGACGGCCGTACAACCTCCACAATATAACGAAGGGCAACGACTGTGGCATCAGCAACCTGCTTCTCACTGCTTCTAAATCATTTCCCTTCAAACAGTGTTGTAGTCGCGCCAGATTGTCTGAATCACTAAACCCACATTTCTCAGTAGAGTTACAGAACGAACTGTAGAAGAGCGGCCAATCCTGGGGGTCACCCGAAAAGTTTGGAAGCTCTCTCGGTATCACTTGTCTTGCAGCTAGTTGTTCACTGGAGGGTCCACGAAGCACCGGCACAGTTGACTGTTGGAACTGTTGCCGTTGCGCGAACTGCTGTTGTTGTTGTTGTTGTTGTTGTCCAACTGGAGGAATACCGGAGTATGCTGATCTCGAAACTGGTTGTGAAGCCGTCGTCTCGGGCTGAACTGGTGTAACAATGGTGGCAGGCGGCACCAAAATGTTAGAGGCTACTGGCACTCCGCCGTTGTTGATGACCCCCAACGAAGCTGCAGCTGGAAATTGTAGTTGTGTTCTACCCACACCAGTGGACTGCAACTCAAACTCAGCATTGGTTAACCAACAGCTGGCGCTGCCGAACTTGGATTTTGTGAAGAATACGGATATGTTCCGGCGAAACGAGGTGCTGCAGACATTGCAGGAGAGCTCGATATACTCGTTTATACGAAAGGACTCGCATTTCCACTTTGAAAGCAGCTCCCAGTTGAGTTGGCAGCAACCGTCGTGTTGTTCACAGCAGACACACCGTAAGCCGAGTATGTAATTCCATACGATGGAACTCCGACCAAAGACGAGCTGGTGACGTTGTGTGCAGGAACACTTACATTGTGTGATCGACCCAACGCTGATAGTGGTACGGAACTGTTACCGGGGATGAGTGGATATATGTAACTAGCAGCCTGCGGAAGATTACTGACAACTCCTTCACTCGAAGACATTCTAGGCGCACTGCTTGTTACCAGACTGCCAACGAACTTCGGCCCCAGGCCGATGGAAGTGGAATTCGCCTTGTCACCGCCTTTCGACAATCAGAACGTTACTGATTACGATTGGCACTGTGTCTTAGGCGACTGAGTCCAGAGGCCGCTGGAGGAGCACTTCTGTAGACTTTCGGTGGAGCCAAGTTTAGGGCAATCGCGTTTGAAGTATCAATTCTGAACGGGGAATCCCATCTGAGAAACCGCGATGTACTTACCGGCGGTTGTTGGATTGCTATTTCAGTGCGAGATACGAAATTACCGGTTGATAAGGCTACAGGGCCATCGTCCGTCCCACAGCCTGTTCTTCCGAAATCCTCTACAGAATTCGGTGTGGAAGTCGACGCTGGACCAGTAGCTACTATTGCAGGAATGTTATCTGCATTCGTCGGGATGATCCTTGAAGATTTTATGGTTGACTCTGCGATAGGAATAAATGCTGGAATCGCCGACTGTTGAGCTGCTTCTGAGGTTACGATCGATGGTGACATGCTGCTGCTGGGTGGTGCTACTGTCACTTGTTGTGATGCACCCACTTCCTGCCCGCTAAGCCATGATCGTACCTTCTCGCGACTGGCTCGACTGCTCAGCCTGGATCTCCTACTGGCACCATCCTCTGTATACTTTTGCTTCAGAAAGATTTCCTCTTCCTCAGCGATTCTCATCCTCACAGCTGCCTGAGCTGCTTCTTCTTCCAGGATCCTACTTGTCCGCATGGAGTTCTGCTCTTCTAGCATTCTCAGATTGAGATCTACCCTAGATGAGCGTTTGCTTGACATCGAACGACCAGTTGACACTTGGGACTGCAACACCGACACCGACGAAATTGTCTGCCGTATCCGGTCGATCGCGTTTGACGTAATATTTGCCGTCCATCTTTCGTTCGATCAACTTGATCCAAAAGGAAATCCTTTGAAGTTTCTTTGCAGGTTGTACCCAGCTTCAAAGCTGTGATGTATATTTAATACGTAAATTATAATGTTGATCGAAATAAAAACATCTTACGATTTCGTGTTCTCCTCTCCAGTGATGCAAAATATCATGACACTCACGTGACACTCGTCTTCGCATCAACCGACTATCGCTGACAGATCGTTTTGTCACGCAGTGAGAGTTAGAGCCATGGCAAACAACAATCACCAATAATGGCCGCTACTCACAAGCAAAACGTTACACTCGCTGCTGATGATTAAAAGCACAACGAAAACAGTGGAGACTTCTGCAGTACGATCATGAGAAAAAGCGAAACGACAGATGAAAATGAAAACAATGCCTACGCATTCGAAGTTCGTCTCGGCAGGTGCGACTGTGTGAGTTGCAAACAAAGCAGGCAACATGAAACGGAAGCTGGGCTCACTCACCAACACACTCAAATAAGCAAGCTTCAAAACGAGCACAGATGAGTGTCGTGATTGTCGGGAATGACCAGATCGGTGATGGATCACAACAGAAGACGACATTCACCAGTTGCTTTTTACTTCTTTCGTCAACTTGATGGATGGTCATGGAGAGAGCTTCGACGAGCACATTGGTACACTGAAATTAATTACATCGTATGTTGAACAACAATAAGGTTGTTAAATTTACAGTCAACAAAAGTTGTTAACCGTACTATTAGATCGGTTAAATTTACTGATATACTGTTAATTTTAACTATTCATGTTTATTTATATGTGTTAAAATTAACTACACGTTATATTTAAAATACCCATCCTATGCGGTAATATTTTCTGCTACAAACAACAATATCTGTTGTCAATATAAGCACACATCGTCGTTTGAATGTATTACACTCTCATTTATACCATGTTTCTAGTATTATCAAGTGCACATTACATACAAAATTCAACCGACAAGGTTTTGTAGTCAATTCAACTATAACAAGGGTGTTATTTTTTGCAAGTGTTTGTTTAGGCACAAGACGCCATTTTATCATCTATTTCGTGGCGAGCGCGTGAACAAGAGGTTTTTATTTATAAATAGTTAATTAAATCGAATGCTTAATAATGCAATTGAACGAAGAATCGTGTGAATATGTAGAAATGATTGTTGCAGACCCACTGGATTCAGAGGTCTCCGACGGTAAGTTAATAAATTGTAGAAATTATCTTTTCTCGGTAATTTATTTGGCGCTGTAATTTTTCTTTTGTTCAGATGCTGATTTAGATCATGACGGTAATCCGGAGCTGCTCAACTTGATCACTGAAACATGGGGTCTGGATCGTGTGATTTATGACATTTTGATCGGTAAGTTGAATGGAAAAATTTTCTTAGTGACTTTTTCTGAAAGTCATAATTTTAGCTCATGGATATACTGTGGAGTATGCCAAGACGCTGGACGAAAAGGCATTAAACGACGTATTTACGTTAACGAAATGGACTGCCTACAAACATGTACTGCGCCAAAAACTAATGGTGTGGGAAGAAAGTGTGCTATACCACGAAACAGAAGCAGCTGCCAGAACAATCAACACAGTTTTCGACCAGAGCACAGCAACCATCTCTCCACATCGAAAACTTATTCCAACAGGTGTCACGAGGGCTTTACTCGACAATATTTTGGAGCGCAATAAAAAGGGCAAGATTGTGTTCAAATATTATCAATCGCTCCGTCGTCTAGATAGTCACCATCGGAAGTACTTGGCACACACCATCGTTGACTACTATATAGCGAATGAAAAGTATTTTTCGCTTCCGGACATGGCCCGATTTGCGGAACTCATTGCCGACCGATTTCCTCCAGAAATAGCCGTAAGAAATACAATGGTTTATCCTATGTATACTGTCTACTAACATATGTCTATAATATCGTTTTAGGAGACGTATTACAATCCCCGTAATAGCTCTGTAAACAAGAAGCACCCATCTGGTATGTTGAATGATCGTTTTCACAACAGGAAGAAAACGTCTGCGACACCGATTTCTCACACTCCAGTGACAAAAATGACTTTTCATTCGAGGCAAAAACTAGCTGCATTACAGTTATCTGAAACAGGTAAAAATTAAATTTCCTTTGTTCTCATTCAGAAAAATGATCTGCATTTTTTTTTTGCGTTTATAGTTCAAGCTGAACATTGCATTTGGTTCTAAAAAACATTGATCGATTCTCTTCGTCGACTTTCTCTTTCGTTAATAAATTCGACAGTGAGCATGCATAAGGGCGTATACGCCGAGGGGGACGACTCTATCTACGATGCAGGAAAGATTGTGTTTTGTTGTGGCTAGCTGCGTGCACGCTGAGTAGATACAAAGAAGATTGACGATGATTCTGAAGATTTCCTGCAAAAAGATGATGTGCGATGCAAGTAGATGCGAGAAATGAAAGAAGATTTTTCGAAGATTGATTCGCTAGTTGGAGATTTGTTAGGCATCTAAACTTGAGATTTAGATGTGTCGCCCCCCTCGGTATACGCGATGATCGATTCTCTTAATCGATTTTCTCTTTGCATTGCTACAGCTAAGCGAAACAATTTTCTAGAATTTGTTCAATGCAGAGTTGTAACAGGTTCTATTGGCTATCAAAAGCAACAGCAAACGTATCGAGTAACGTTAATTCTAGCAAGCAAGCAAGAGAAAATGGTAGATAAAAGCTTATTTTTTCGACTTATGTGCTGAAAATACCTGGGATGTGTCTTTAAATGGCCATTTCTTATTTATTTGTCTGCATCAACAGGCTGTGTAAAGCCCCAATGATGATTTAAGTAACTTATATAGGCAAATCAGAAAATAAAAACTAAGAATAAAATACATAAATAAAACACACAATCATTCACGGTTAACTGTGCCAGAAAAAAAACGATGAGAAGTATCTTCGTAGCAGCTGTCGAGGCATATGGAAATCGAAGATGCCCGAGACTCGATTGAACACTCGTTGCAGCCCACCTATTGCACCGTTCATGCCATAGTTTGTGCGCTGAAGTGGCAATCTCAGCATAACGTTGTTACGTAGCGCACGGGGTTGGACGTTAATGTTGACTTGCCCCAAGATCACTGTAAAGTGTCCGCAATGAACAGGGCCCTAGAGGTGTCTCTTCTAGTTCGGAGAGGCTCCAGATCAATCAGCTGGCAACGACTTTCATAGCTGGGCAGATGAAATGGGTCTCTCCAAGGCAGCTTCCGCAGAGCGAATCGAAGAAAACGGCGTTGAACGGACTCAACTCTCTCAGCACCATTGTTGTAGTTTGGACTCCAGACCACAGAACAATATTCCAGAATGGATCGCACCAAGGAACAGTACAGTGACTTCAAACAGTAGATATCGGAGAAATTCTTTGCTATCCTGAAGATAAATCCCAATGTCCTAGACGCCTTGTCGACAACGTACGAGATGTGCTGCTTGTACGTAAGTTGAGAATCTAGAATAACACCCAGAACTTTCACATGGTTCACACGGTCGATTACAGTGCCGATAAGTTTGTATTCAAATGTGATTGGTTCTTTCTTCCGAGTAAAAGTGATCACTGAACACTTAGTGGGGTTAACCACCATTCGGTTCAAATTACACCAGCTGGCAAAGACTTCGAACTGACGTTGAAGGAAGTGACAGTCATCAATCGAGTGGATTCGTAGGTAGATTTTAAGATCGTCTGCATACGATAGTCGTGGGTCTTCGATGACCAAGTTCACGTCATTGAAGTAGAGTAAGAAAATCAAAGGTCCCAGGTGACTTCCTTGAGGTATTCCTGACGTAGCTAGATATATATTGGACCGGTTGTCACCAATGGCAACCATCAGTTGCCGATCAGTGAGATATGAACGAAATCATCGCAAGAGGTTGCCGCTGACCCCAAGTCTATGCAACTTGGCAATCGCGATGGCATGGTTTAGCTTATCGAAGGCAGCTGACAAGTCGGTGTATATGACGTCTGTTTGAGTCCTCTCTGCCATGCTTTCCGTAAGATACGATGTCAAACACAGCAGATTTGTGGAAGTAGAACGGCCGGAAGTGAAGCCGTGTTGATCACCACTTAGATACTGCTTACAATGAGAGAGTAGAGGCTCCATGATGACTAACTCGAATAACTTCGAAACTGCGCTCAACGACGTAATTCCACGATAATTGTCCACATCCCGTTTGCTGCCCTTTTTGTGGATAGGAAACATATGTGCGAATTTCCAACAAGATGGAAATGTACCACTCGAGATGGACAATCGAAATAGGTGAAGCATGGGCATCAGCAAGCTGGCGATATGCTTTTTCAGGAATACGGATGGAACGCCATCGGGTCCTGGATTGAAGGACGACTTGAGTTGTGATGCGGCAGTGGAAATCATCTCGACGTTGACATCCATCGCACCCAGTGTTTGACCGTACAGTGGAACATTACTAGCTGCTAGGGTAACGTGTTCGTCAGTTAATCTCTCATTCGTGAAAACTCTGGCGAACTTCTCAGAAAACAAGCGACAGATCTGCTGAGAAGTGGATGCAACTGCTCCATTCAACACCATTGAAGAAGGTAGGCCGGATTCCTTGCGCTGCTCATTTACGTAATTCCAGAATGACTTCGGGTGCGACTTGAGTTTCCTCTGAATCCCTCGTTGATATCGCGAATAGCATCGACGGCTAACTCGCTTGAACTCATAATTGAGCCTAACGTAGTGACGTTTCTGCGAAAGCGTACGATACTTAGTGAATTTTCTTAATGCGGCTCTCTTGGTCGACTTCAACCTACGCAGTTCACTCGTCTGCCAGGGAGGATGAGAAATTTTACGGTGAACTCTTTTCGGAACGTGCCTGTCAATGACATAAGCCAAGACATGTGAAAATGTTTGCGCAGCGGTTTCAACATTATCAGGATCTAGGATGCTCTCCCAATCTATACTAGATAGCACGTTGACGATACTACGGTGATCGGCTTTCCGGAAATCGTATGACACGGTCGTGGAAATGTCGTCAAAGACCCGATCGTGATTGTCAGCAACAGTGACAACCAAGGGAGGGTGATGATGTACTTGCTTTACTAGTGGAGAAGGTGCCGTGGAGATGAAAGGAGCGGTGTCCTGAACGCTAACGAAGCAGAGGTCCAGGCTACGGTTGTTTTCGTTGACTACGTGGTTTATTTGAGATAGTGTTGCTGTACTATAGCAGTCGAGAAGGCTAACTGATCCTGTATGAAATACAGAGTGTACAGGGTCTGGGTAGAGAAAGCCGCTGTAAGATGGTTTCCAGAAAACACCGGGTAGATTGAAGTCGCCCAGAACGATTATCTCATCAGTTGGTGTCGCACTCTCCATTATGGTGAAAACGGACCGGCAATGGGTATCGATAAGTTCGTTGTCACGAACCCGGTCAGGTGCAATATATACCGCACATAGGTACAGTGTGCGATCGCTCAGTTCTACGGCCACCCAAACTTGTTCCACACAGTTCCACAAGACGTTTTCAATAGCTCTCGCCTTTAACCCGGAACGAACTGCCACGAGAACACCACCTCCAGTAGATTTCCGACTGTTTTTCGGATTTCTGTCACAGCGGAAAACCTCGTATTCGGATCCGAACACCTGGATGGAAAGCGTTCGAGAATCGAGCCAAGTCTCGACAAAAACGATGACATCGTAGCACAGGTCCGATACAGCTAGGTGGTAGTCAAGAACACCAGAATTCATTCCGCCTACGTTTTGGTAGTAGAAAATGACGTCGTGTTTACTACGGTCGGTGGTCGCACGAGGTAAGGCGTTTTCCCTGGAAGTCATGGAAATATCAGGTGGCGAATGGACATGAACAATCTCAAGTGGATACTCGCCGTAGTGAGTAGGTTGGAAGACCCTCTCTCCACATCCAACCACAGGCCCGGAACGACTATGAAGATCGGAGGCGGCAGATGGCAGGACTGGGTCAGAGGGATTGGGGGCTTCCACAATGCTTTCTACAGCGCGTCCCAGGTTCCAATTAACAGGAGTAGAAGCATTTCCTCGATCGGTGACATCCAGAGTGCTGAAATTCGACTCGGCATCAGGCAGTGAATGTTCAGAATAATATTTGTACTTGCCTGACATAGCAAGTTGGAAGACCCTCGATCCACATCTAAGCTCAGGGCCGGGACGACATTGATGTACGCTGGCAGGAATCGGCACGACTGAGTTAGAGGAACCGAGGACTTCCCAAGTGCTTTCTACGGTCATGGGTAGACAAAGATAAAGTCGACGAAGAGAATCTGTCAATGTAACTTAGGACCTTATGCAATGTTCAGCTTGAGTTATTAAAGAAATAAAAAGTCGATGAAGATAATCGATAAAATAATATAAGCTCCCGAGTGAACTACTATGTGTCACAAACGAGGTTACAAACAATAATTCTCGATTGATTTTAGAATAGGTTCTATGTCAGTTTGTTGATCAAAGAATCAATTAACTAAATTCGCTTTCTACCGCGACCTAAACGGTGAATTTGCAATATTGATACATGCAATCAGAAGTTCCCGCATAAACGCGAACCATAACTTGACCTTACCGATAATAATTATAAATTGTTTATAATCCCTCCTAAACTTTAACTGAAATGATTATGGAACTTTACATGAACGTTTGTGTGATAAAGTTTTAACCTTATGTATTATTGTTTTTTGAAAGCGGACCTCACAAATAATGGGTTGTTAAGAACCATTACCATTCAAAATTCTTATTTTCTCTATACATTTTCGAAAAGAGAACTATATTAGAACTTTTTTTTTTTTTTTTTTTCCTTTATTATAGAGATTTTTAGCCATAGGCTAGTTCATCTCTTATAATATATTAGAACGTTTTTTACTTATGGTTTGAGAACTTTAATGGTAATGGTTATGGTAGTCAGTAAGGTCCACGAATGGTTTTGTAACATCGATCAACTTTATGTGGAATATATCGCGAATTGGTTGCCTGTAATTTTCTGATTACCAATTCACGATATATTCCACATAAAGTTGATCGATGTTACAAAACTATTGATGGACCTTACTGACTACCATAACCATAACCATTAATGTTCTCAAACCATAAGTTAAAAGGTTCTAATGAAGTCCTCCTCCCGAAAATATATGGAGAAAACAAGAATTTTGAATGGTAATGGTTCTTAACAACTCATTATTTGTAAGGTCCGCTTCCAAAAAACCATAATACATAAGGTTAAAACTTTATCATTAAACGTTCTTGTAAAGTTCCATAACCATTTCAGTTGAAGTTTAGCAGGGATTATAAACAATTTTTAACCATTTTTGGTAAGGTCAATTTATGGTTCGCGTTTATGCGGGTTTACACTTTTCACTTTTGATTGCATGCATCAATATTGCACATACACAGCTCAGGATGCGGAAGAAAGCGAATAAAGTTAATCGATTCTTTGATCGACAAATGGACATTGAACCTATTCTAAAATCAATCAAGAATTATTTATTATGAACTGTCACGTCAATCACTCGGCGCTTGTTGGTGCAGCTACTCTTTTTATGTACCGCAAAAACGTAAACGACATTATATTTTCTATAGATTGTGCATTACACACTTGCGTTGCTGTATTTATGTTGTTACAGAAATTCGTCGATTGGACTCTAGCAAGGTTTGGTTGCGGAATAATTGTGCACCAGGTGATCAAGTTTTATCCCACTGGAAACATTCAATTCTGCTGCGGCTGAGGAGCATTCAACATGATAAGAACATAAACAAATCTACGGTTCTATCTGAGTGGCCCCGATACATGGACGAAGACGGATACTTGTTGGTAAATATATTATTAAATGTTTGCTTTATTACATGGTTCTAAACGGTCAACTTATTTTTAGGTTGATGTGGACTTTGAACACCTTTTCCAAAGGTCAAATGAGCATACGAGTGAGCAAGGCAAACTGTTCGAGAAATGGGAATGGTTCTGTACACACTTTCATGAATACCTTTTGTCAGCTGATGTCAAAGACGATTACTCTCGTCAACTTATTAGCGCTTTGGAAGATGGAGATGATTCAAAAGGTAGTTAGCAATAAGTGAAGATAATTTTTTTTGAATCCTATAAGTGGAGCGTCATGATATAAGCCGATCTTACTTTGGTAGATATGAATTTCATTTGATTTACATTGTCGTTTCACCTCAAACACAGTGGAATCATAGAGGTAACTCTAAGACTAGAAGGTCCCGAAATAACGTGCTCAACTTTTTGACTCAGCTCTGGTACTCTCTGCGGTCCCAACCTAATCGATTCACCCCTCGAAACATAGGAAAGTCCACTAACCCCTCATTTTATCTATCAAATTTTCATAGCGAATCAAAACAAACATTGCGTAGTACTGGAATTACGACTAGAATGGGGTACGTTAATCGTTTGCTCGGGACCGAGCTCGGGACCAATAGGCTAGTCAAGTAGTGAGCCAATTTAAAATCGTTAGTTTCGTATTGATTGTTGGTGGAATCAATTCTTTACACTTCAGTCCACTTGATCAAAATGCTCTGATTTATTTCAATTTGTAGCAAGGTTGTTCGTTCACAGACGCTACAGTTCAAAGCAGTATTTTGCATTCAAAATATCGTAGTGCATGTACATTATGTGTAGGGCTGATGCATAGATTAAGTCACGCAAAATCAAGTAAGAATTGGCCCTCCTCAACTGATAGCTACACCCTGATTTTTTTTTTCGGTGTACGGTGGTGTAACACCGGTGTAACTACACCGCAAAAACGAAAACGACATTAATTGCATTGATCGTCACTATTATTATTTTTTTAGATACAAGAGACATTGTGCTTTGTGTGGCATTCCATGGCGTAATTAAACCAGTAAGAACCTCTGCTAAAAAGCTCCCAACGATTCTTCAAGCTCAAATTGATACATTCTTTGTGTGTGAAATGGAAGAAGAACTCACAGATTCATGGCATTCTCAAATACACGAGTTGGAATCGACCGGCGCTCAATTTTCACCAAGAATTTGCGCAGTGGGCGCAATCGGTAATTTGGAGAGTTTTTATGTTGTAACAAATAAGCTGCGATATAAACTACCATCACTCGTACGTTGCCTGGATGTAGTCGTAAAGCTGAAGTTCACATTGGATCTGCAATTCCCGGAGAGTAGTGAGCTATTCTGGGCATTCATCAGCGGATATTTTTACGGTATAGATTACACTCAAAAATCGAAAAACACTCAAATATTGCAGTTGGTTGCTTATCTAAGCTCACGTGAAAAATGAAGTGTTTTCTATGCACGGAGCTGATGCCAACCTTTCAAAACCTTCTGGATCATCTTACAATATTCCATGGGACACCATCCAGCTTCAACTATAAATGCATGACATGTACACCAACAACCTCGTTTTCTGATCTAAACCGTTTTAAAAGGCATGTCAAAGTCTTGCATGCTGAGTTCTGCAAGTCACACGAAATAGATTATATGTTTCCATCAACTCATAGAGAAACCGATGACACGCCTTCGACATCATCTCATAAGCAGCCACCAGCGATGCAACAACAGAATACTGAGCAGAAAATGAAAGATACGAATGAATGTAAAGACAATAATGAAGAGAAACTACAAAAAGAGCTACTGCTCGATGAAGAAGAAATATTAGATTTAAGAGACAGTTTAAGACAATCTTTTTTGAACTTTTCAATGCACTTGTATAGTAAAAAACATTTTTCCAGAAAAGATGTACTTGATTTACAACAAAACATTACTCAAGACATCATCAAACCAATTTGCGAAGTTTTCAAAACAATTGTTAGATTACCAGAAGGCACAGAATATCGCCACTTAATTAATGATATTTTTGATCCATGGCAGTTTATTTCGACAGAGCAAAAATTCAAAACACAGATGAAAAAGTTAGGCTTAGATAAAACAACGCAAACACTTGATTTCGAGAATGATTCTAGAAGCATCTCCGAAGGATGTTTGATGCCAATCAAACATCAATTTCAACAATATTTTCAGTCAGGATCAGTATACAAAGATACAATTCAAAACATGGAAAAGTTCGAGCAAAGTAATGTCATATCAAATGTTATACATGGAGATCTATGGAAAGCAACAAAAATTCATTTCGAAGATTCTCAAGTTATACCTTTTTTCTTGTTCAGTGATGAAGCTGAAATGAATGACGCAATTGGAGCCCATTCTGGGACACACAAGGTATGGGGCATTAATTATCAATTTCCTACTATCCCACCCCAGTTTCTGAGCAGGTTAGAGAATATGTTTGTTGCAGGGTTTATTAAAGCCAGCGATGTAGTACAACAAGGACCCTCAGAGGCGTTCAAAGATCTCATTGAGATTATTTTTGATTTAGAACAAAATGGTCTGGTTTTGAAAATTTCAGATGAGTGCATTAAGGTTCACTTTGTGTTAGCAGGAATTTTAGGAGACAATCTTGGTATAAACACATTAATGGGGTATAGTACATCTTTTAGCGCATTGCAGTACTGCAGATTTTGTAAGATGAATAAATACGATGCACAAGATGAAATATATTTGAACCCTAATTTGAAACGAACCAAGGAAAATTATATGACAGATCTAACCAAAAACTTCAAAGAAAGTGGCATAAAAGAAGAATCAGCTTTCAATAGATTACAGTACTACCACGTTGCTGAGTATTCAGTAGTAGATCCAATGCATGATTTGTACTCGCATGGAATTTGTGGTTACGATTTAGCACTTGTTCTTCGTTATATGATTCGTTATCTCAAAATATCGCTTCAAACGATTAATTTTCGAATCCAAATGTTCGACTTCGGCGATACAGAGAAACGAAATATGTTCAGAAACATCACTCGGGAAAACATTAAATCAGTGTCATTCAAAATGACTGCTAGAGAAATGCAACTATTCGTGCATTATTTCCCTCTCTTATTTGAAGATTTGTTTCCAGAAAATAATGATGTGTGGAACTTTATGATGTCATTAGTAGAGCTGACGGATTTAATACTATTACCAGCATTCGATAATAACACTTTAGAAACATTAGAGCAACAAATAATCTATCATCATACATTGTATAGAAATTTCTTTAATGAGAAATTCAAGCCAAAATATCATATTTTAATTCACTATGTTGATACTATTAGAGCTGTAGGACCTCCCAGATTCACATGGAGCTTTCGTTATGAATCTTTCCACCATGTTTTCAAACGGTATTGTTGAAACATCACTTCTCGTAAAAATATTTGCCTAACTCTTTGTACGAAAGCAAAATTCATATTTTACGAAAATTTGAGCAAGTTAAAGTTGGAATTTAAAAATCCAATAAGTATCAAATTGATTGACATGACATATTTTCCATCTCTTGCTGTTAGTAGTACACAGAGGGCTTTATCGTTCAAATCAGTCAATACTATGAAGTTCAGAGGCGTACAATACAAAAAAGGCCACTTTTTGACACGATCGTCAGTAAATATGCGAAATTTGGAGCTAATCGAGATACAAGACATATTGATAACCGTCAATGACGATATATTTGTTGTTTGTCGAGAATGGGAAGTTTCTGAGCATTCCAACCATTATGCATCGTTTGTAGTTCCCAATCCATTAGACAGATATAATATGAGAAGCATAAACTATTTCGATGGGCCACCAATTCATATGTATACCGTAAGCGAAAATAAGTTTGTAAGATTAAAAAAGTATTTTGTGTAGTTTAGTTTTGTAAATAATGTCAAAAATAAAATGTGAACGCATAATAAATGAATTTCAATGTTCGATTTTACAAGAAAAACTCCTTTTCAGAATACTATTCTTCTCTAGATTCTACTATACCATGGTAAATTTACTATTTTAGATTTTAATATAGCGTGTTTATAACAACAATATAAATCTTGTCAAAATAACAACACGATCTATTAAAATTACCAACTAATAATACAATTAATAGTTGAGTTAACAACCCAGTGATCAAAATTACTACCAAAGCTCTGAGCTAAGGAAATGGTAAAAAATACCACTTACTGACTTAAATATGAAATCACTTCGGTTGAAAAACGTTGGCACTAGTCTGTCAATAATAACCACTAAACTGGTAATTTTCACCACAAAGTCATTTTCAGTGTAGGAATGTACAAAGCGTTACTACCATCAGCTGTTTGGCGATCGTGATTGTGATAGGTCACAACTCTGACTCCTCTCATCTAACCCGAAACTATCTTCCGAATTTGGAAATTATTTAATTCCGTACTAGTAACAAGTGTTAAGTTTCTAATTTTAGGCAAAACGATACCCAGTGCAAAGCTGAAGTAATTGCCACCTAGTCATTCTGCTTTTATTGGATCGTAAATTTATCTAATTAGCCTGATTGAGCGTTACTTTTAAGAATTTAACGTTTTTTCACGTTTGTGTTTCTTCTGTGTTAAACGATTTTTATGCTGCCTGTGACGTTTGAGAGCCACGTCACCCGTTGTACTCTCCCTGACGTTTCCGCTGACAGGTCTTGGGTGATACGGAACTCACCCAGCTACCAAACGAGACTGCCCTGTGGTTCCGTTACAGAGTTCATAGGCGAAAAAATGTAAACTCTTCCAAAAACCCTGGAGAATTGTCTTCTCATGTTCACTGAGGAAATTCCCGGAGCTGAAATTACGCTCAGTCTACAGACGCAAAAGACAATAAAACCTTTGTTACTCTTGAAAGCGAGGGTGTTTATTTCTGCCAGTTCAACACGACCCTCCATGAAAAAAGGCAACATTATCTCCGGGGTGGGAAAATTTAAATAAAATTACTCCGACACCCATGTTTCCCATTGCTTCCTCCCCTTCTTTTTCTTTTCGGCAGATCCCGTCCCGAAAAGAGCACCAAGACAGTATGTAGATGCCTAAGTGTAAAACAATAGACGCCATTGCCATTTGTGAGTCGGTTTCAGGAGCCGCTTGGTTGCTTTCTGCTTACTTTGCGATTTGGTTAAAGCCGAATGTTCAAGAAATAAACCGAGCAAAGCACTGCTGGTTGTGATTGTGGGCAGTCCCATTTTTGTGACACAATGTCTTGCTTTTCTTTTTGCATTCAGTCAACCTAAAGCTCGAGTGCGCCTAGGGGAAGAAGCGTGAGGGGGTAATTAAAATCGAGATTGGCAACAATGGTGTTGACAATCTTGGCAAACCACAAATGTAAAATTTTACTTTTATTGCTCTCTTGAACACGGCAGCACATTGGGTATTTCTTTTTAGTAAGCAAATTTAAAAACCAACACAAATGGGTGGGTGGAGGAAGTCATGTTTTCCGAACAAAAGCTCTGCTCTTATTTAGAGGAAAATTTTGCTTTTACAACAAGAACGCTTTTTTTTGTGTGTTGCAGAGCGCATTTGTTTGTGGTTTTTTGAGGCGTTCGTTTGCTTTTCCGACTTCTGTTTGAGTTAGGGATTTTCCAGCGAAAAGGCAGCCTGAACAATGTGAATTAAATTTGCCCACACACCTGAGAAATATTGGCTTCGTTTCCGAGCACAATGCAATCGAAATTCAATGGGACCACATTTATCCTCCCACGTGGGTGAATTCAGCAGGATCTCACTTTCGCCTTAAAATAATTTATTTCTGTCCTGATTGATTGCATCTATCGACTGTCGACTTCCAGGGAAAGCACCAACTTCCTTTCACCTGGCATCAAAAAGCCACGACCCGTGCGGTGACTCGCGACTTCATGCTCTTGGGGCACTTCCGTCTGTAACGACCCAGCGACACTCAATAGAGAGCCAAGTGAAAAGAGGAAAATAATGAGAGCACGTAGAAAATGGAGTGGGAAAAAATTGAAAACATATTCGGAGACGTGCCTGCAGCAACAACCTTGGCGATGATGGTCCCAGCACTAGGAGCAGAAAATCTATTTTTTTCCACCCGACAACAGTTGGTCGCTAGAATATGTAGTTATTTTTCCACTCGGTGCGCTATCTTGGGACCTAGGATGCAGGACGGAAGCAACCTGCAAAGCACCTAGCGTTCCGGAGTGCTTTTTTCCGCCCCACCGAAGCGAATCGCATTGTCGATGGCGTTTGTCGTCGTACTTGGCGGAGCCGTTGAAGTTGCCTAGTTGCTGGAGCGCGGAACGCGAAACAGGTCCTGCTCTAATGGCGTGGGGACGTCGGGTCACGGACCAGCCTGTGAGTAAGATAATATTCACGTTGTTTTCGGTGCTTGCAGATTCTTACTGCATGCAGATTTTTTTCTTCTCTTGCTTACGATGTGTTGCTGTGTCACGAGTTGCCCGAGCCA